TCAGCCAGAACACACATGGCAACAAGATATTCCTTCAGTGAGCCAATGGTTTAGTTAATACCACTAAAATCAACTAACAGGGAGTAATGAACAACTGAAGGCTCTCTCTGATTCTTTTAATCACAGGGAGTTTACTGACATTGGTCTCATGCTGGAAATGCCAAATTAGACTGTACAGCCAAGTATGCCTCAAATAGCACTGATGTTCCAGTCACCTAAAAAAAAAAAAGACAGTTGACTATTTCTGAGAGTTTATTATGAATATATAACGCATAAAATGGATGGAACAAACATCTCAGGAGCTAATTTTTCTTTTCAAATGTTTACAGAAAAGTGCCCCAAAACAAGAGGCATTATACCAATTTGTAAAGTAAATAAAAAAAGGAGGGGGGAGGATTCACTTCAGGTCTTTTGCAAATGGATCAGGGTAAAACGGGAGATATAAATCTCTGTCATACTGCTTTATTTTTATCCGGATGTCTACATAAATTCTGATAAAAAGATCAAAATAATAAAATTACCCAATTATATCTAATACATTACATTGAGGCTCAGAGTTAATAAAATTAAAAAATTCTAAATAATGCTTTTTACTGGAAGAACTTTTAAGTTTCTAACATATAAGTTATTATTTAAAACATTTAAAATTTCAAAAATAAAGTTAATCCTGTACAAGTTTGGTGATAAAATTCATTCAAAACCAGGATCAACTTTCCATCTTTCCAAATTCTTAGATTTAAATCAAACTGATTTCCTTTATTTGTCAGTGGAAAAGGCACAGTGCTAGAATATTGTATATACATAATAAAACATTGATGACTCCGATTTAAAAAAATAAAACAAGTTTATTTTGAAAGGAAAAAAACCAAAGGATTATGATGGGGGGGGGAGTTACTATCTCTCTCTACTTAGCCACATACAAATGATCTGTAAACCAGAAGGTGTGAGTACTGACCTAGAATTCATAGCACTTTCACAACTCCAAGATTACATGTTAACAAAACTAAATGGTGTCAATTACCTGCTACTCTAACATGAAATGTTTAATGTACAAGTCCCTACAAGAATTTTAAAAGTCCAAAGAAAACATATGATTAGGTTAAAATTTAGTATACTCTGGGTGAATTATAGAGATTTTTTTTTTTCCCATCAGAGCATAACACTTTAAATTGGTGATACTCAGAACCCAGCAGAAGCAAAGCATTAAGTGGGGAGAATCAATATTCTTCAAGTATGCTGGTAGTATTTGCCACTGTATTATTTTACTATTCTACCTGTTAATGCCAATTAGTAGGAAACGTTTAATTATCCTATTATCATTTTGGCAACTGGTCAAAAGAAACCAAGAACTTTTCAATATACACACAATATTTAAAAGAATATTCTCATTGGAAGCACCAAACTGTTTACAACATGCTTCAGATTAAGAGGCATGTTCTTATATTGAGTCATCTCTATCTTTACAAGCGTAGCTGCTATGGGATAATGTAAATAAAGTTTTATTACTGAAAGTCTCTTTAAAAGTTACTTAAAAGCTTTTTACATTCTTAAAGAAATTAAAGACAAATAGCTATATTCTCCTTGATTTAGATATTCATTACTCAAAGTTACTTAGTAACATGCTGGTTCAGAATTCAGCCTAACATTAGAAGGATCACTCTATTACTATATTTAGGTGAAATCCAGACAACTTTCCAAATTTTTAAAATATGGAAGATGCATTTAGGCAAATGTTATCACATATACTTCTATTCAGATTGATAGTTCTCAGTTGCTATTTCAGAGATTTGTGCCAATTCAAAACATAAAATTGGTTTTTGGCCCGCCACCCAATAAGTACTAGCAACTAAAAAGTTATCAGCATTTGAAAATTGAACATCCACTTTCCAGAAGCAAACACCTATGACAATAGATTCTATCTGATAGCAAATAAGTTTAATATTTTTTTCTCTGTTAATCCAGATCTATGGATACTAATGGTATAATAAGAGTCATTAATGAAAACATAAACTCCTAGGACTACAGAAGTTACAATATAAAATATTTAAATCCTGTGATCAAGATGTAATACTTAATTCTAATTGTATTTAAACATAATTTCAAATTCACCTCCATTAGTATAAGCAATAATATACTTACTTCATTTTGCCACAGAATCCCTTATTAGCCTAAGTGTCTACTGAACTTATCTAAGAAAAAAAATTAATCTGTTTAAGTTGAAATCAAAGTTTTCAACTTTTTTCCAAAAGATTAAGTCTTCTGATCTTATTAGTTTAACAAGTCCTAAAAAATAGGATTTATATAAAATCAGAAGGCATGATTAGCTTACTTTACAAAATAACATTACTGAAAATAAAATGTAAAACATTGAATCTATAAAATTTAGTAAACCCTTGAAAATCTTCTAAAATGTTTCTTCCCTATCTTTTGAGATAAACTGTGCTTATTTCTAAACTAGTTATTTTGCATTGGCTGTTTTTAAATCACATCCAAGCTGAATTTTCTTAATATATCAAAAAAAACCCATCTTATTCAACATTTCAGAGAGAAATCTGCCTACCAGGCCCGCCTTTCACGGTTACGTTAGTTTTTTTTAAAGTAAGTTTTACTGTGACAACATATGAAGATAAATGCACCCACAAACCCCTAAGAATACTAAAGTTAGAGCTGAATCTCTTGGGAGAGGGGTACATTATCCTTTCTTTTGAACATCATCAAAATGATAACGATCAAATAAAAAGGTATTTCCACAAGCCTCGAATTAGAATACAGACTTGAGAATACCCTTGGTATTTTAAAATTCTACAGATTAACTTTGTCTGGGCAGGTTCAAAGCCTGAGCAGAGTTTTCTACAGGCAGGGCAAATCTATTAAAAAACATGACCTGTGACAAAAATCAATGTGCTAATCTCAAACCAAACAACAGTATCAAAAGCATAAAACAGAGATAACCTAAGATAAAATGTCCTCAAACTAACTCAGACTAGCTTGACAGGTTAAGAAGGAAGGGTAAGTGGGGGTGTTGCTGATTCTTTCTGTTTTAACCTAGGATGACTGGAACACCCAAGAATCCAAATAAATGAAAACTGTGAGGAAAAGATCACACTGTGAAGTTTGGAGTGGGAAGGAAAAGCAACTAAGCACAAAATGTCCCACATTCAACTAACCAGTTTCACTGTTATTTTATTTAATAGGGCACTAAAGTTTAGAAATATAAATTCCTGTATTTCGTATATGCTGTTTAATAAAGCCCAGGGCGGGTATAAAACCAACCAACATAATGAGACTTGCTTTTAACACCATCACAACTGGAAAGCTTGCTCTATTTGTCTTGTCAGCTTTAATAAAAGGCATCTCCTCTGGCGGGATGGCTTCCCTTTCTTTTCCTAATAGTGGTAAGTGGCATGTCAAAGAAGAAATAGCTTCCCATCCCACCACCCACCTCCAGAAGACATTTTTTTCTTTTTTAACCAAACTTTCAGGAATGTCTCCACTTCTGCCAGGCGGTGCAATTTAGAATTTGGGCTACCTGGGTGTGACTATCTCTCCTGGAGTCGGGGGCGGGGGGCTACTCTCCTTTCGGCAAGCGGTCGACCGCTTGTGGGGAAATCTGCCCATCTTCATCTGAGCTGACATTACTTCAAGCGGGGACTCCCTCCCAAGCCTGAATTAAGGGGGAAGGACGGACCCAGTGGACACGGCCACCCAGGGATAGGAAGAACTGGAGGCGCCCGCCAGCCCCCTCTCTCCCATACACGTTGGGCGCGCAGCCACCACAAACTATCATCCCCTCGGCCTCCAGCCTCTCTCCTCCCAACTTCCACTCCAGCCCAGAGAAAAACCTGGGATTTCAGGTATAATCGATGCTATTTCCCTCTTAGGCAGGCACCGAAACCAGCCCGCATCTGGAAGCTGGCCTCAGTCCCAGAGTGCCAGAACATTATGGGCCCAGTGGGGCCGACTGCTGCCCACAGGCCGGGGAGAAAGTAGGGCTCGGAGCTGCTCTGGATCCGGAGGGGTTCGCCCGGCACACTGGACAACCCTCACTCCTCCCCACTTCCAGAATCCCTGAACAAGGGACGTCTGCGGGTGGCCAGAGTCCAGCAGGCGCGCTAGGGCGGCCCCAGGCGCCCATCTCTAGCCTTCCGCGTACCCGGAGGGCTTCGGAGACGCCCACAAAACGGTTCCAGGTAATTGCGCGTGTTCCTCCGGCTTCACACCGTCAGGCCGTGAACTACAGGGCTCCCACCTCCCGGCTCGGCCAACTCCAGCAGCTCGCTTCGCACACATGACGTAATCCGGCATTAGATCAAACTTTCTGGCACCTTGAGCCCACGGGGGGCAAGGAGGTGGGAGAATCCTCTCCACTGCCAGGCGCGCCGGGTCGAGACTGGGCCAGGGGCCGGATGATTGCCTCGCAGTTAGAAGAAAATAAAAGCCTAAAGCTTCCGCTTCCCAGCCACCCCCCCCCCCCCGCCTCACTTCCCCCAGCCCGTGCGCTCCCTGAACGTACCGAGAAAAGGGAAGAAAATTAAAAAAAAAAAAACTTTGGGGATGTTTGGCGGGTTCTCCCTGCAGTCCCTGCGCAACCACGCTCCAGGCGGGAACTCCTGGCGGCGCGCACCCAGGGCTCCCGGTGCCCAAGCCCTACGCCCGGATCGAGATGCTGGCCGGCTTGCCCCGGTGAAGAAGCGGAGAAGTCTCGACTCCCCTGCTCCCGCCTTTTCCGAGTCTCCCCGCGCTCCGCAGAGGCAGCGGGTCTGGGCTGCCCCGGGGACTCCCAAGGACTCCTGGTCTCTTTGAGGCAGCTTAACAAAGAGAGGCGCGATGGGAGCGCTTCCCGTGGGCGCCTCGAAAGCCATCAGCGCCCTGGCGACGCAGGCTCCGAGGGTGCGCGCCGCCGGCGGCTGGTGCGCGCTGGTCCCCGCCGCCACCGCCGCTTCTTCCGCAGGGCGCCGAGGCCCGAGTATCCCCGCTCTCCGCTCCCCCTATTGCCTTACCTGGGGTTGCTGCTGTTCCAGTAGACGGCGTAGCGGTCGGCGACGGCCTTGGAGCCTGGGTCCTGGCTGAACACACACATCCAGAGCACCAGAAACACCAGCGTCAACATCTCCACGTGCAACATCACGCCTGGCCAGCGGCGGAGCCCCCGACAAGCCACTCCGGGGAAAGAACAGGAATCCGGAGGGAGGGAGGGAGGGAAGGGGAGAAAGAGAGCAGGAGCCAAATAAATATGAATAAATAAGAATGAAGAGTGGCGAGAAAAGAAAGAGGCGCACACCAAGCTGGGGAGGGGAAGGAGAACGAGAAAAGGAGACGGGGGGTGGTCGGGGAGGGGGCAAAGACAAACTCGCACCCCCAATGGAGGATTCAGGAGGAAAAAAGGAATCACAAGATGGAGAGAAGCATGCGTGTGTGTGGTGGCGGCGGCGAGGGCGGGGGAAGGGGTGCCAAGCCGTGTCTCGAGCGGCGGCGGCAGGCCGGTCACCCCGGGAGAAGGAGGTGCGCACCGGGCCGGGCGGCGGCACCGCGGGTTGGGGCAGGCGGCGGCGCACGCTGCACAGTCACCGGGAGTTGCGCGCCGCAGCCGCGGGGAGACATACACTGGCCCGCCGGGCCCGGCTCAGCGTCGGCGCCGCGGGCTGCGCACGGCTCCGCCGCCGCCCAGGGCCCTCGCAGTGCGCCCCGCTTCGCTCCAAGTTACTTTGGCGGCGGGTGAGAAACTGCAGGAGGAGGGCTCGGTGTGGATGGAGGGCTTCGCGCCTGTGGCCCCGGAGTGTGAGGACCCCCTTCCCCCGCCTCCTCTGTGCCTTAACCGGGAGACCCTTGGAAATCTCGGAGGAGTCGTAGGTGCTGCGGGTTCGGGGCGGTGCGCCGAAAAGGGTGGGGATCCGGAGCCACAAACCCAGCCCTGCCGGCGTCCTGGAACTGCTTAAGCGGCAGCTAAGCTGGCGAGGAGCGGTCTTGCCTTGCAAACCTCAAAGAAAAGTTTGGCTCTCCGTGTCTTCCGGCAGGTCCCCCCGGCGGAGTCGGACTGCAGCGGCGGGAGACGACACCCCTGGCGCTGGCAGAGCCTCGGGGATTTCTCGCGCGTGCTTTTCTTGGCCGGGTGTGGGTGCACCAGAGTGAATGAAGAGCAGAGGTTACGAACCAGCCAGCGAGGCGGAGCTGGGATGCCCAAACCTGCAGGACGACGCCAACCCAACTGTTAGGCTGGAGAGCGAGAGAGAAAACAATCACTTTTTAAATGAATCCCTCCAACTCTTGGATGGGCTGATGTCAGTCTCCGATCGCCTTCCGGGAGCAAGACTGGGCCCCCAGACGCGGTGCCAAGAGCCTCGGGTGAGCGCTCAGAAGTGTCCCTGCGACTCCGACGGGTCTTGCCCCAAGCCCGGCAACTTGTAGAGATGCATCAATCAGTTTGAAACGGGAAAAGAGGAAAAAAAAAAAGAGAGAGAGAGAGCGCAGGAGCGAGTGGCACCTCCCCGATGACTACATCAGAAAACCTTCCCGATCCTCCTGCAGCTGCTCCTCTTTCCCTCCTTGGGCACAGCAGCAACAAGAGGTGAAAAGCACCAGCCGAATCCTAAAACCTCTACCAGGCGGGAAAATAAACTTGAGTGCAGCAGCAGCAGCACGAACAGCCCAGGAGGGATTGAAATGACTGGCGAGAAGTGGAAAGAGGTAAAAGTCAGTTTTGCAAAAGAGAAAAAAAAAGAGAAAAAATGCTTTATGGGAAAAATCTCCTCGGGCACGCCCCCTCGTTAATGACCTGCGTGTAAAGCCGACAGCAACGGCGACCCAGCAGCAGCCGCCGCCGCTGCCGCACCCGAGCGCAAGGCCACGCGCGTGAACGTGGACGTGGGCGGCGCGGCCGTGGGGGGGGCGGTGCCCGGGCGTGTAGCGCAGGGCGCGGGGCAGGCGGGCTGCGCGAGCGCGGGTGTGAGCTCCGGACCTAGCAGGGGGAGGCGCCGCCCGCCCGCGCCCAGCCAGCGCTGCTGCCGCCGCGGCCCGGGTCATGTGGGCTGCTTTTTTTTTTCTTTTTTTTTTTTCCTCCCCATGCAGTTTACTTGGAAAGCGGGGGTGGGGTGGGGGGGGTGGAGCAGCCAGTCAGTGAACAGCCTGCTGTTTGGTTACAGGTCGGGGTTTTTTCCTCTCTCTTCACTCCAACAGGATTGGTTTGTTCCACGAGAAAGAGGCGTTTTCTTAATCTCCTCCCTTCCCCACGCCTCCTACCCCCCTCCTCGGCCCCACCTTCCAGAAACCTGACTAATTGAATTACTGGGAGTGCCGAGGCGCCCTCTCCTCCGCCCGAACCCAGCAGCCGCGCGTAACCCTTTGGATGCTGAATTCCGTCTGGGCTGAGGAGTGATTTGACATCTTTTTACCTGAGAGTGAGGTTTTTCAATTACACAGGAACCGGTTCCCATCTTGTAGCCGGCAAGCCGAAATCTGTCTCCGAGGCCCTGCAGGTGACTTGAAGTCCCAGCAGACAGGCTGTCGGGGAGCCTCAATGAATTCGTGTTCTTGTAAATCTGCGCTGTTCACGACGCGCATTGCCCGGAGCTGGGTTATCTTGGAAACCTGAGCATCTCTCCTGTGCCTTTAAATTCGCCTCTTCCTACCAGGGACTTAAAGGTTCATGAGCAGGAAGCAAGACTTTTCTTTAAAGTGATGCTCTGAAACATTTTTTTTTAAATTGAGGAAATCAGTGTAAAGTGATTGCAATTCAGTGCGATCCTTCAGCAGGAAGGAAATGAAGGCGGCAGGGGAGCCCATCAGAAATACATTACACCTTTTACACTTCTACCCCGAGGTTGGTTCACTGCCCACTCCCCAAAGGATAGATGCTTTCAACGAACCCGGTGCGGCAAGAATCGCAAGTCGGGGCGGGAGTTCCTTTATTATTTGAAAAGGACTCGCGCGTACCCGGACTTCTAGGACTTCTAGAGAAGGTTGCTGCGCCTTTGCCCCCGGCGGCCTCGGAAGCACAATCGCCTGACAGCAAGGCGGTCCGAGCGCCTTGGGACGCGTCGCCCGTCCTCCAAAGCCCGGGAATCTAGCCAGGAGCTCGGCGCTGTGGGGCACCAACCCCTCGGAGACTTGCCCTTGCGGAGCTCAGAGGGCTCAGGCCTTCATAATATTAGTCTCTCCTGCCCTCTAGGGAGTTGGCTGCCCCGGTGGGAAGGGCTGATGCCACGAAAGAAAGAGGTTTAGTTTTGCTCCCAAACCTTCCTGTTATCCCCTTTACTTATTAGCCCAATAAAATCAAATATCACGTTCTCCCTCCTGTGCTATAGTTTTCTAGATCAGACTTTCCAGGAGCTTCGGAATTGTTTGGAAGCGTCCAGACGCCCTCCAGTGGTGGGCCTGAACTCCACACCCAGCGGGGTTGCCTGCAGCTCAGTCAGGATTGAGTTTGATGGAGAACCTGGGGTCAACATCAATAAAGACTTGAGGGAAAAGGAGGAGCTCACATAGGCATGGAATTACCTGGACATAATGAGCTCTTGCCTAAAAGTTGAGTCGTTCCTCAGTTACAGAAAATTTTCCTACCTGAAGAGATCCTGAAATTGTCCTAGGAGAGTAACTCCTCTATTTGTGACTAGGTGTAAATTGCAATCTGTATAATTACAAACTTCATAACTGACCACCGCAACAAACCAACCACATTCCTAATTTTAAAAAATATAAATTCAGAATATTAACACAAATACTTGTCTACCATTTGTATATTTCACAAAATTCCTGCAGTGAGAAAGTTGGAAAACTTAAGCCAGGGAACTAAAGGATAAGCATTTATTTTTGAAACCAATTTTTTATTTAAAGCTTGATTTACTCTTACCCTCTGGCCTGTAATCTTGCTGATGTTCAAGTTCTTAGCCTATTTTAGGGTGCATTTGTTTTTTCCTTTGCAGGAATGACGCATTTCTTCCCTCAGCCTTTCTGATAGTAGCTCTAATAAGTGCTCAAATGACTGAGGCAGTTTTGCAGGAAATATTCTGGGCTCTTTTAAGGGACATGTGTATCTTTAGGAAGAAGAGAATTCACACTCCTGTCTTGGGGAAAATGCTGATCCTCATCAGAAAGTCCTTTCAGTCAGGGAAATATCAGGTGTCAGGGAGTTAGCAAGCTGGCTTCCTGTGGCATCAAAGCCAAAGGAGTAAGGAAAAAGAAATTATATCCACTGAGTTCCTATTTGAAACTCATACTCCAAATGTGAGAATTCAACATATCAAAGAATATAGATGTCCTAATATTTTCAATATCTCTAATTTTCTTAAAGTCTGGATAGTCCAATTTTAAGCAGGAAAAAAATCATACATGATGGTCTTCCTTAAAATGATTCAGGGAGTTGGAATAAGACATTGGAATTTGTAACTGTTTCAGAACATAACTCAAATGTCTATGTGAAATAGTTCATAAACCTAAATCAAATGCCTCCTTCTGGGATCATATACCTAGGTAATTATTGATATTGGAATAACTAAGCAGCAATATGATAGATACATACTTAGCTAGATGGACTTTGAAGAGGTATTATTAACCATTCACTTATTGCTAGACAATGTGACTTTGTCTCTTCAGGAAAATATTTAGGGGATTTGTATTTATACAAATCAGCATTATATAAAATAACTATATTATGATTACTCCAATGTCACAGAGGCAATGACTCTTAAGCTGGTCTTTGAAGGGGAAATAACATTCTGCCAAGCATAGAATGAGGTTGAGGTATGAGAGAAAGAAAACAGCAAGCTAAAAACACAGAGTAAAAGGGTAGGGAGTGTTGGAAGGCTCTGAGTTGACAAGACTTGAACAGGGTTGTAGGGAGCTGAGACCTGAAAAGTCTGTTAAGAATGGACTGTAGAAGGGCTTAACTGCAATCTACAAATGTTTGAATTTAAAGCTACAGGCAACCAAATGCCCTGGTGGTTTTATTTTTTTAAGATTTTATTTATTTATTTATTTGACAGAGAGAGCACAAGCAGGGGTAGCTGCAGGCAGAAGGAGAGGGCAGGTTCCCCCCTGAGCAAGGAGCCAGATGCGGGACTTGATCCCAGGACACTGGGATCACCACCAGAGCTGAAGGCAGATGCCTAACCAACTGAGCCACCCAGGCGCCCCCACTGGTCGTTTTTTTTTTTTTGGTGGTTTTAAAACAAGTGACAAGTAATACAGGTAATAATCATTATGCCTCAACATACAAATAGGAATGGATTTACTTGTTTGTTTACTTATTTGTTCATTATTTTTTGGCTTTGAACTATCTAGATTGATGTTCTAACCTTGGCTACAAATTAGCCACCTAGGGAGCTTTTTTATTTTTAATTTATGTATTTTTTAAAATATTTATTTGAGAGAGAGAGAGAGAGAGCATAAGGGGGGAGGGGCAAAAGG